CTTTTTCTCCCCCCGCAGCTCTTCATGGTGGATAACGGCGCTGACGACTGGCGCATCGCCATGACCTATGAGCGCATCTTCTTCATCGCCCTGGAGCTGATCGTCTGCGCCATCCACCCCATCCCCGGCCAGTACCTCTTCACCTGGACGGCGCGGTTGGCCTTCACCTATGCCGCCTCGGTGGCCGACGCCGACGTAGACATCATCCTCTCCATCCCCATGTTCCTGCGGCTGTACCTGATCGGGCGCGTCATGCTGCTGCACAGCAAGCTCTTCACCGACGCCTCCTCCCGCAGCATCGGCGCCCTCAACAAGATCAACTTCAACACCCGCTTCGTCATGAAGACCCTCATGACCATCTGCCCCGGCACCGTCCTCCTGGTCTTCAGCATCTCCTCCTGGATCATCGCTGCCTGGACGGTCCGCGTCTGTGAGAGGCCGCCGGGCGGGGGTTTTGGGGGAGGGGGGGGGGGGGCACAGGGCTGGGGTGCAGCTGAGGATGCACGGTGCAGACCCCGGGGGGCTGGTGGGAGAGAAGAGGCCCCTTGGAGAAGAGGCCCCCGCTCTCTGGGCAGAGCCTCTCCGGCAGGACCCTCATGCCCTGGGGAATGGCCACGATGGGTTTGCCAAAACGACAACGCGTGCTGAGGCGAGATGAGGACGGCCGGACCCCCAGGCTGTCCCCAGATCTCTCCTAAGCCCCTCTGTGCCCCCCTGGGACGCAGCAGGAACCCCTCTCTGCCAGCGGATCCGGCCAGGAGGAGCTGGGGGGGTCTCTCAGAGGGGACCGAGCCCTTGTGCAGGATGTGGCCCGTTGCTCCTCAGCTGCGCCCGCTGGGATGCCGGGGCTGGGATGCCGGGGGCGGGATGCCCGCGCCGATGCCCTGCCCGTGCTCGCCCCTTCTCGGCCGCTCCCCCGAGACGCTCATTAATTGCTCTTGTTTTCCCTCCCTGACCGCTCTGCTGCTCGCAGGGACAAACTGTGAGTCACCCCAGGGACCGACAGCGCGTCCTGCACGGGACGTCCCCCCTGCCCCAGGCTTGTGCTACCCAGAATTTAGGATTAGCTGCA